CCATTTTTTGCAGTAAATTCGAATTTGAGCATTCTCCTTTTTATAACGCAAATCTCCTTCTACAAGTGCAAGAAGAGAAACACACCATAGGCAGTAATGATTAGCCTTTGATTTCTCTGCGTCTATGATTTCAATAAACCTGTTGTCGAGGTTGGTTGGTGGGTGCTCTGGTATGGCTTGCTCATTCTTTCCTGTCAGACAAATATTATTGTCCTTGTCTCTCCTCCTTCTTTTTTGTGATTGTTTCTCTCTTGTAACACCTCGCACTTATATTATCACCCAATTGTGTTGCCAGAGCCGTAAAATTCTAACAAAAAACTAAAAAGCCTCTATTGTCCTGCTCATTTCTGTTCAAGGTCTGTAAGCAAATCGGCCAGCCAGTAGTGGCGTCGGTGGCCTAGTGGTTAGGCTCTCGGACTCTCAACCGTAAGGTCGTGGGTTCGAATCCCGTCAGGGGGCCGACGTTGTGTCCTTGGGAAAGGCACTTTACACGAATTTTCCTCACTTCACCCAGGTGGGAATGGGTACCCGGCTGTAGACAGCGAAAGATCTTGTCAGTTTGTAAGTGTTTGAGCGCTTAATCAGCTGCTTTCACTGTAGTATGCTTCCCGGGAAGCTGAGAATGTTTCGGAGTGTTCTATGGGCTGCTGGGGTAATAATATAATGTAAAGCGCATAGAGCCTGCTGTTGAGCGGGGATATGCGCTATACAAATGCTCTTTATTATTATTATTTTATTATTATTATGTCTGAGTCAGTTCAAACTAAAAAATATTTTCTTCAATGCGCATAGCTTGAACTTAACCCATAGGCCTATATAATACCGACTAGGTGCTGTAAACGTGTGCCAAAAGCTCTTCCTTTTTATTTTCCAATTACGGACATTGGTGTGTGTGTGCGCGCGTGTGTGTGTGTGTGTGTGTGTGTGTGTGTGTGTGTGTGTGTGTGTATGTGTGTGTGTGTGTTTGTGTGTGTGTGTGTGTCTTAAGAAGGGAGGGGGGGGAGGAAAGGGGGGGGGGTTGTATCTCAAAAAGAACAAGGGTCTCATTTCAAGAGGATTGTAATGACCCCCCCCCCCTTTTCCCAAGCTAGCGTACCGCACCGCACCGCACCGCACCGCACCGCACCGCACTATAAACTACAGAAGGCACCCACGTCTGGCACAGTTGTTTATTTGTGTGGCTGCACCCTAAGTAATAAAATGTGAGGCATCGGGGTGAAATCAGGCGCTCGTCAAAATAGTGAAATCAAAGAAACCAGCTTATTTGTGGCCGTTGGGGATTTTCTTCTTTCGAATTTTCTTCTTTTTTTTTTAACTCAACACCTTAATGTTCATTTAAAAAGACACATTTCTGTGTAGATTTTACCGAAAAACGATTATCAAAGTCACAAACGAACGAAAATTTGCCGTTTCAAGGACACTTAATCTTTGGAAGTCATTTTCGGGCTCATTTTACCTCTAACACTAGTCCACCCCCACCTCCTTCAATTACAAATTTCTGAACTTTTATTCTAGATAGATGGATATTTTTTTTAACCAAAAGCAAGACAAATTAACAGGTTTTGGGATTATACCAATAACTCAACATGCCCAAAACTCGACGAGCGCTTGATTCCACCGCGTCATGAGACATTTATAAAACAAGTCAAGCAGCTAGAACGTTGACACAGCCTCTAAAGCCAATTCTTCTGCTGGTGGGGCAACTTGACTTGGAAAATTCCTATCCTCGATTAAATAAATAAAAGAAAATCGTCAAGATCTAGATCTTTATGAGACCACGACAAGGGCTGGAAGCTCAGCAGATCACGAGTGTAAAAAAGTAAACGAGTTTCGCGTAGGCAAAGGACGTCTTGACCCACAGCACTCACGGATGGCTGGTTCTCTTGTGGAAGACATAATCAGATTATTATTTGCTTCCTCGTGTTCTATTTCAGCACACACACACATAAATGTACGTACGTACATACATACATACATGCATGCATATGCACGCATACATACATATGCACGCATACATACATACATACATACATACATACATACATACATACATACATACATACATACATACATACATACATACATACATACATACATACATACATACATACATACATACATACATACATACATACATGCATGCATGCATACATGCATGCATGCATGCATGCATGCATGCATACATACATACATACATACATACATACATACATACATACATACATACATACATACATACATACATACATACATACATACATACGTACGTACGTACGTACGTACGTACGTACATACATACATACATACATACATACATACATACATACATACATACATACATACATA